TCTGTTACTAATAATTAGTTGGTATAGCAGACTAGCAGCAATCACAACAACATAATTTGTTGTCACATATTTACCGATCACCGGTTAAAAGTACTGGTGACTTGCTAAATTAACAAAATCCTTTCTCTCAGTGTGACAGATTTGCCATAAATTCCTTATCCTAAAATTCCATAATTTTTCCCTGATTTTCAGACAAAATTTCATGGCTTTCCCTGATGATTTCAATTTTTTTGATCAATGATTTTAAAGCTTTTTGTATTTTTTCGCCCTAATTTGGAAGTCATTAAATATTTTTTTATTAAAAGATTAATTTATTTTAATATAATAATGTAAATTAATGTTACTGACATTATTTGTATATAATTATTAAGCTGATAGTATTCTAAAACTGCATATAAGTATGATGTACTCATATTAAACTTCTTTTCAAAAAAACAAAAAATTTAATTTTTCAGAGAATCTCTTGACTCTTCTATGATTTCCCTAATTGTAAATTTCCCTGAACATTCCCATAATTTTCAGTTTTGTGGCAACCCCGAACAAAAATATCGTTTTATGCATTTTTGATTAATTTCAAAGAGTTAATTGACAGTTGAAACATTAGACGGAATTATAATGTACGTCAATATAATAATACATATTAAATGCTTTGCAAAATATTTCGTTTATTTCGATATGGCTATTTTGTGTTTATCTGTATGATTATGGATGTATAAATAATAATGAATCTATATTGTAATATATCTTTCATGTAGATTTTTGATTTATAAAATACCAGGAATAACATATATGATTTATTCGTGCTCAACGGCTTATTTTGGAAATTGCATTCATACGTTATACGTGTAACAGTGGCTGCTTCGTATTGAAACCATGGGATTACAATTTACTTGATTTCCGATCAACTCGATATTCTGTAAAACCAGATTATTCGAAATGCCTGCTAATCTCAACACGCGGTGATTATTTATGCAATCGCTACTATGACAACGATTTATTAAACTGAAATATTGCCAAAATGTTCGAAAACACACACACACACACACATGAAACGTACCTACTTAAAAGATCGAATTATATTCAATTAAGCTCAATAAAAACTGTTTCTTCGGCTATTTGTATAACTCGTTTTTTGAGAATTATTGGTTTACTGATTATTAAAAAAACTAGTTGATTTACTGAAAGCTAATAATTTACTGATTATCAAAAAAAAGTTGATTTATTGATATTAAATAATTAGATTGCAATCTAAAATAAACATTTTTGAATTAGTATTCTGCTTTTACAAAATTTTGATTTTATTGGAAATGTACTCGATAAATGCACTCTTGAATGAAATTAAAGATACTCGAATTGGTTAAAAAAAAATAACAAAATCCAAGTTTATGCTTTACACAGAATAATCATAGAGTGATGTTCAAAGAAGCATTTTATTGCCTGAAATCTGAGCTGTCAGATATCGCCGAGAAAACAACTTGAGCCGGTTTGAAAGCTAATATTTCAGATTTTAAATCCCTCTTTGAGCTACCCAACTATTTCATGTTACATAAATTATATTTTATCATAGATTATATTTTATCATTTTTACCTCTGGTTTCCAGAATTCTTTCGTGGAGAAATTCAAAAATCCTAATAATTGGATCTCCTCTTTCTTTTTGTTCTCTATTATACTTGAAGTAAATCGTTAGAGGTGATTTTATCCGCAATCTCTCCTTGAAACTCCCACATTTTACATACTTCAAAATGCAGAAACTAAGAGGCCGGTATAGTCTTAAAATGTCATCAAATCAATCACGGAGCTATATTAGCATCTCAAGCCGTTACTTAAGACGATTTTAAAACAAGAACGGACCTCTTTTTAAAACTTTTAGAATGACTTTTATTGTGAACAGCGAAATATCACTTTCAGGCTAATGTTACACTTGTCGTACAACAAATTTTTCAAGTATGTTAATTGGCTGCAAAACAAAAAGGTTCTCGGATCTCTCTATTATACAGCTAATCAAGAGGCTTAAAAAATTTATACATTCGCCTTAAAAATGGAGAATGAAGCCGCTCTTTCAAGACTAGCTCAATTTTCACTTATTAGAATGAGATTCCATGCAAAGAATTTAGAGAGTACGAATACCCGTCTATTTAAGACTGTCTTAAATATAGTTTTAAGATGTCACGAATGAACCAATCAGAGAACCGCATCTTAATATTATTTGAGACGAAATATTATTGAAGACCGCCCGTAGACCGGTATTCATAGTCCGTTCTTATTTTAAGAGCGTCTTGAGTAATATTTTAAGATATATCAGTCATACTAATACAGTCTAATTAACTTGACACTTAAGACAGTCTCAAATATAAAACTCGACTATGAATACCAGTCCAGAAAATCTGCAAAAAAAAGTTTCCCGCTCTCGTCGCTCTCGTCGCTCTCGTCCCTCGAGCAATCGCACCTCTGTGTACCGTACTACGTATTTTAGTTCGAACAAAAACGAAGGTATTTTGAGTCGCCTGTGACTCGCCCTCGCTAGGCAGGATATAAAACAAACGTACGTGTAACTCATACTCACCGCCTACGTCCGCGGGGGTTCGTGTAGCACAGGAATCCGGCTGCGCGCCCGGGGCTGCGACGCGAAAGCTTCCCGCTGCCACCTTCACGTCGTACGGTTCGAGTCCGTCTTCGCGCGCAACACACAATTTACGATAATTTATTTCAATACTTTCGATATATGTAAACACACTGAAAATCTCACCAACCACTCCTTCGGTCCTTTTTCCTTTTCGTCTCGTCGAGACTGCCAATCGCCGGACGCCAATGTCAACCGCCGTGCAACGGCGGAGCAACAGGAGACGGACGCAGCACACTCATTCAGATCGAACTGCAGTTCGGCCGAGCCAAGCCGACGTTAACACCGCACCGTATCGAATCGAAACGGACGTTTGAGGAAATACGACGAGTGACGGCGATTAATATCGAACTCCGGCGGCGCGCGCTGCCCACGCGAAGCGGCTTACCGATTTCGAACGAGTGCGCGAACACGCGATGTAAAAGCCGTCCGACAGGTCCGACTGACACAGTGGCTCGCGCAATTCTGCTGCCTAGGACGCGCCGCGGCCCGCGGCCCGCGACGCGCGTCGACCTTTAGAGGACGCTGCGTCGCGCGCAAGCAACTTCGCGCCGTACGGCGTACGCTGCCGTACATACACGGGTTTACGCGGCCCAACGCGGCCCGGCGAATCACCGCCAATCGCCGACTTTCGCGGCTCTCTTTCGCTGTGCTCACTCTTCAACGAGGCACGTATCGTGGAATTATTCAATTATTCCTTTCATTTCTATTGTGTTTTCTCGAGAAAATACAATCATTCCGATCGAATCCATTTCGTATAATTTTATAAAATTATACACGCGCCTAGAAATAATAGCTTTGCAACTGTTGTAAGATTCTTTAATATGATTGATTTATACATTAATGGATTTATACGTGAATTCTAAGTGAAAAGATCATAACTTTGTTCTTTTAAAAACTTCCCAGTAAACACAAAGTTACATGTAACGCACCCGTTAGTTGTCATTTCCCACTTAACGATATAACACACGTATTATATTACAGTTATATTGCTGAATGAGAAATTACAATTAACGTTACATGTAACTTTGTGTTTGCTGGGTTGTGACTGGAGTTGTAATTCTATAATGTGTATCGTAAAATGTACGATCGTTCATAAATATTTACGATTTCTTGTAAATCTTGGTTAGCAGGAAACTGTCTGTAGGGATACCGCAAAGCATTCCAGTCATAAGTTATTACACACAAGTCTTAAGAGAATAAATTATAAATCTTATGATTTTACTTAGAATTAATTGACTCATTAGAGAAATCTAGTGAAAAATTAAAGTAAAAAAAAATTAAAGAACCTAATCATATTAAAGAATCTTACAATTGCGAAGCTGCTTTTTCTGCAGAATGCAAATTTCTCGAATTTTATTACAACTGTAATTTTTTATTTGATATCATCAATGACATCTCACACTATTGTTGACAGTACTGTTGATTTATGATCATGATATGATACTTGTATGATTGTATGATCATGATTGTGATATTTGTATTTATTTACGTGTGGAATAATAACGTATTGAAATCTACGATATTATTTGAGATAATAATCAATTTTTTTTTTATGATATACGTGTAATTACCAATTATTTAACATATAACTAATTACACCAGCAAAAGCTAACTTCTGTTTTAATTAGACTCAGCCCTTTCTGTTTTAATTAGAAAGATATGAGAGGTTGTGACGTAACAGAACACTAGCGCCGAGACGTTACCGTGTTTTCTTATAACGTTCAGAGTTTGATCATAATAGCTAAGATGCGTATAAAATAAATAAGAAAATATGTTATACCTGAGTAATATTATCAAATAAAAAATAATTAATTAATAAATAATGTTTTTAAAATGAACGAAAATAATTTTCGTTAAATTAAACTTTGCATTATACCTTAATTATTAAATGCCTTTCCTCAATCATACATTTTCCATATATTTAGAATACACCGTTTTATAAATTATGCTGCATAATGATGGTTGACATATAAAATAATTTCATATAAAGCTTATTTGAATTTCTAACTATTCCGATTTTAAATTTGACGGCGCTTTCATGGGAAAGTGTGAATGTTGGTTTTAATTATACAGTGAACGAAAACAGGCTTAACCGATGTGTATATGCGTACTGTTTGAATATTTGTTTACGAGCTGCAAAGCGCAAATATTTTTGTAGTACTTTTAATGACGCGGACAGAGCGGTTGGACGGATGGATTTAATCCGAGCGATTTTATATCCGACAAATGCCGAACGCACAAAAATAATCTGGCATGTAAAATGTTTGATATTTGATATATGTATATGCTTTGATATATTTATTAGACAAATATTAATAAAAATTTGTTAAATTATAATCGTATACGGAAAAAATGATTTGACGTATCTAAAAATTGAGCTACAGATCTGAAAATAATTTTACTCGATCATCAAAATAATTACGTAGAAATATCAAGCATGATGAGAATTGCTGTAAAAAGTTTTAAGGCTATCACACATGAAATGCATAACAGAGCATAAGCATAACATAAGACTGCTGGACCAATGAGCATCTAGCAAAAAGTCTAACGTCGCCATATTGATTTACATAAGATGCTTATTGGTTTAGCGGCCTTATGTTATGCTTATGCTCTGTTATGCATTTCATGTGCGATAGCCTTAAGTATTCTCTATAGCAACCAGTTTGAATCTCCTGCATAATTATTTTGATGGTCCAACAAAATTATTTTTAGATCTATGTTTACCAGCTAAATTCTTAAATAATTTTTAAGGCAAAAAAAAGCGATCTTTCCTTGTATATAATAGTGGATACTATCAAGTTATCTTCAATAATATATGTAAATACTGTTTACTTACAGTATAATGCGCCATTGCATTTGTAATATATGTATACATTCCTTTAATACATAAATTATGGAGCAGAGCGTGAAGAGAAGTGATTTATAGCTTTACACACAATTTCACTGTTCGTGCCCGAAACCTCTTATCATAGCGGCATGGTATCAGCGACGAGATGTGCGCGTACTATCAATCAAGCCCTGTATTCAGACAAAAAAAGAGGGGGGAGGGAGTATGTTGCATCTGCGTTCAGCGCAAGTCAATAAACCCCTTTTATCATCAATCAAAGCACGCTTGTACAGAATCTATCGGCCTCACTCAGTTATGCAGTTTGTGCGTTCGGCCGCGCGCGCTTCTATCACAGCTCGGTGTCGTTGTTTCGATAAGCACGACTAGCGGTGAGATCGCGCGTTTTTTTTTCAGGAGGATGATCGCGAATTTAAGCGGCGCGTCACGCCACGCCGCGCCGCGCCCACGACCGGATTTAGCGTCCTTTTAATTACAGCTTGTAATTCCGAATAAATGCCAGTCATTGGGTTTACGGTCGTTGCTCGCGTCGCCCGTGCCGTAGGCATTCGTTTACCGAATATTGTTACCAAAATCAGATTGCGCAGCGTGCGCGGCCGATATTGTTTTCGGTAACGCTCGGGCGTGCATAATCATATTCGCGGTGCCGCGGAAAACCGCCGCGCGCGCATGGAATACCCGTCAAATGAAATTGGCCTGACTAGGATACGCCAAAATCGATATTCCGGGAGAAGGGAGACTCGTTTGTCCTTCGTATGCACATATTACATTCGGTGTCGCCGATTGTCTTCCGTAGGTATTTTCAAAATAGATACCATCAGAGATTATACTATACATATACACACTGAAAATGATACTAAATCTTAATAATTCTACAAATAAATATTTACTAAATGTAAATATATACTTATTTGATAAAAATATTAATTTGATTTATATTATTTTTTTATTGAGTAAATATTTATTTACTGTGAGTAAATATTTACTTAGTTTTATTCAAAGAAATATATATTAAGATTTAGTAAATGTTTTTCCAGTATATTTCATGCGTTATTAAAGATATATCAACAAATTTCACAATAATATTTAGCAATTTAATTATTGAAATTTGACGTACATTTGGAAACATATACGTGCTTTTATATTTACTTTTAATATCTGAGAGAAAACTTTTAAATAGAAAAAAAGAATTATTTTATTTAAACGATCTGTTTAATTCTTATATCAAAATTTTATTATATATAAATCAATAATGGTTTATATTATTGTAATAACACTTTTATAAAAATATTTAAAAACCTTAATAAGAGAATTAACAAAATTATAAAGAATTTTCTTTATGATTAATAATTGATTTATAAATTCTCTTCGTAGTCTTTTACTTGTTTTAATCCTACGGATTTAAATATTCGTTCATTTATATAATAGGATTATAAAATATAACTCTAATACTGCAGTAATTTTATTTATTAATTAGTGTATTGATTAAACCAATAAACAAACGTATTATTATAATTAACAATATGAATGTAATAATCAGCGAATTACAGTCATTTCGTATCAACACTATGCCGACTACTAAGTAAGCTCTGCTCAAGACAATGTTATCATATATTTAGTTAAATTACTTACAAAAAATTAATTATAATACAAAGTAGATTATTGTAAATATATTTAGACACGGCATGTATGTGTTTTTAAAATATCTATCTAAAGAAGGCATTCGTAATGTCGAGTGTGCACACAAAAAGAGCGCGATTATACTACGAGCTCACTAGCGTAGTACACAGTTTATAAATCACCTCATAAAAGTTAGAAGGGAGCGTTACGGGATCATTTTTGCAGGCCGCGGCCAGCGATTCCGCGTGCCAATAGTAATCGACGCGACTTGAATTTTTTATTTCGCGTTCGAATTCTCCCGACAGCGTAGCGCCATTGCAATTGAGAGCGAGAGAGAGAGAGAGAGATCGAACGGAGAGCGAGACAACACATTAATTAACTCGACGAGAACGGTGAATTGCAAAATAATTCAGCTTTTTATTATTACACGGCACGAACTGAGAGTATAAAATCGTTTACCCTTTTCGATGATCACAATTGCAAAATGCCATCGAGTTAACGAAGTTTCGTCTGCTATTCGAAGCTGCGTGCTGCGTACATATATTGCCGAATGAAAAAGTATCGTGAATTAAAATTAAAACTGCCTAACGTAATTTATACCGGGATGGCCGAAACAGTGCACATAATGTTAATTGAAATTGCGGGAAAAGTTAGTTTTTCTATCACTCACGTACATTTCGTGAAATGATTTTGTTGCACCAACGTTTTCATCCGACAACAGCCAGAATGGTATACTAATAATTAAAATATGTGAGATAAAAAAATTTCGTTTCATTAAATCCTGTCTTGTCCAGTCTTTGTAAACGTTCGAGAAAACGAACATAAATATGTCCATTTGCAGGAGATACCAAACGTAAGCTTAATATAACGGAGTAGTAATAAATTTAATTATACATATACAAGTATTTT